AAATAATTAGTAAAATTATCTTGCAAACAAAATCTTGTTTTGAAACGAAGGAACCGAAACTATAGTTCATCTCAGCCAGAGATGTCATCCCAGCTCTGAAAATATGTGGCTCAACACTGACTCAGTGAATGCCCGCTGTGGGATGTAAACAGTGTGCCATTCTTTTTCAGCCGAGGCTTTAACATTAGGTAAATCTGGCCATTGTGAAAGTTCACCAGATGGTGTTTATTCTTCATCTGCATGACATTTTTATATGTGGTACTTAATTTAAATCCATCGTGTTGACTCTTGAGTAAAAGATCTTCCTGTGACAGTAAAAGAGGAAGTGTTACTGCTTTACTTTTTTACTTCCTGTGACAGGCATGCCTATACACGTCAGCACGTGTAGGTGTGCCTCTCTGCCCTTTCTCTTCAGTTTTGAGAGGAGGGGGAGAGATGGGAGGGCTGCCTGACTCCATGAGAGGAAGGAGGAAGGCCGGGGAGGGAGCATGTTTGACTGAGAAGGATACTTACCCACTAAGGAGCCAGAGTTTTTCCTAACAGGTAGGTGAAGTCCATCCTCAGGAGAAAAGATTATAGTCAGAGTTGAGGAAAGCAATCAAAATATATCAAGTACAAAGACAAGGCAACTATGGAAATGGTGGAGCAAAGAGCAAGAACAGATAGTGGAGCAAGGTAGTCAGGGTTAAAAAAAAAAAAAAAAGCCAAGGAAACAGGTTAGAACTAAAGATAGAACTGGCATGCCGTGAGTGAGCCTGAGCTGGAAGTCCCACACACTGGATGTTGGCTCCTAACTGTTGGGAAGGCGTGGAGATTCAAAGGAGTTGATCGAGAGGCAAGGCAGTGGAGTTGCATTACATATCACATATAAAAACATAAACATGGAAGAGGAAGGTACTAGACTATACCTTTCTGCTCCTTAGTAAGTCACCAAAAAACAATGTGTTTGGAAAAATAAAGTTATTAAATATACATAAAGTAAAATAACAACAAACAAAAAAAACCAGTGTCACCAGGACAGAAAAATGGTGTAACCTGAAGCAGCATCTCTCAAGGTGTGGTCTGTGGACTCGCAATACCAAGAGATGTAGCAGTTCCAGATGCACACGCCTGGGCGGCGCTGCACACTCTGTCCTCCTCTCAGGAGAGCCAGTGGCTTTAAGGCTCTCAAAAGTCCTGCAAGAAAAAGTCCTGGGTGGCTTTGTTTAGCCTAATATTTTATATTTGACATGAAAACCTTGTTTTTCAAAATATACTTTGTAAATGCTTACTTAATGAAAAAGCCAAACAAATGAGTTGGTTTGATGATATAAAATTGTCTAAATCTTAAATTAAAATATCACTTGTCAAGAGTATTCTGCAGTCATTTCTAAGAGATAAAATCAAATGCACCTTATACCAGCCTAAACTCACACCATATAGTATGACTCAAAATACAGAAGCAATAAAAGACCGATACATCTGACTACAGAAAGAAAAATGTTTTTAAACTTTTACATGTCAGAAACAAAGTAAACAAACACAAATGACAAGATAAGGGAAAGAGACCAAAAAAAGCCTGATAAAAGAATGGGCAAAATATATGAAGAGACAAAATATTTCTATAGGTACAGATATAAAATACCCACATGCATATTCTTAAATGTTGCATAAATGCCCTATGCATCTGAAAAGACAGTCAACCCCACTCATAATGAAAACAAGTGCATATTAAACCTACTTTAAGATACCAGTTCTTATCTCTCATATTAAAAAGCATTAAAAACTCGATAACATATTCTTGTGACATGGCTGTAAAGAAACCAGCATTTTCATACATAGTTGGTGAGAATGCAGATGTGAACTACCCTGGTGGAGTTACTCTGTCAATATCTAACAAAACCAAGTATGGATTGACCTTTCATTCCAGGAATCCCATGTCTAGCAATCTACTTTGAAAATATACCTCCAGATATACAAAAATAGATATGCCCATGGTTATTCATTGCAGCATTAATTGCAATGATCTTGCAATTAATTTGCAATAATGCAAAATACTGGAAACACAGGAGAGTGGTGAAAGAAATGGTAGTACATCCATGCAGTGGAGCACTGTGCAGCTGTAAGAATGAGGAAGCTATGAACTAGTAGAATTGATTTACAAGATATATTTTTAAATTGGAAAATGAAAATGCAAAAAATTGATTATGGTATGCTTCTGTTTGCATAAGAAAGAAGAGGAATAAAAATAGGCATGTACCTGGTCTGGTTTGGTTTTATTTTGTTTTGCAAAAAGAAACATAGAAAGGAGATACCAGAACTCATGAAGTTGATTCCCTACAGAGCAGTGCACGTGGAGGGCATGGAAGTGATGAGAGGTGGGAACAGATGGGAAGGGGTGGAGGAGACGTAAGTCTTACCTGACGTGCCTCTCTGTGTACTTTTGACTTTTGAACTCTTAATGATTAACTTATTCAACAATAACACAGGTAAGAAAAATCAATAAGGATGGAGAGAAAAACCTAAAATGTAATACAGAAAGAAGCTGGTAACTCTGTATTTCAAATGAATAATGCAGAAGCTCCTTGACTTACTTTGGGGTTACATCCCAATAAACCCATCCTACGTCAAAAATGCATTTAACACACCTAACCTGCCAAACATCATAGCCTAGCCCAGCCTACCTTAAGCATGCTCAGAATACTTACATTAGCCTACAGTTCAGCAAAATCAACTAACACAGTGAACACACTGTGAAGTATGAGTAGTGATCGCATGGTGGACTGGGAGCTGAGGCTGCCAGCATCACAAGACAAAATGGTACCACATAACACTCACCCAGGAAAAAATCAAAATTCAGGAGTGCAGTTTCTCCTGAATGCATATTGCTTTCACACACTGGAGTGTGAAAATGCTTCCCCCATTTATTTCCTATGTCCAGGGACCACAAGTAGGTGCTTCTACTGCCATTGTGTAGAGTTTCTAACTTGTCTCTGGGGGTGTCATCATAAGATGATATTATTTCTCTCTGTTCATCCTTGCTCTCCATCACTCTTACTGAGTAATGAGGTCACTGAGCAGGTAATTTGTGTGTGACCTTGTAATTTTCTATAATGTAGGAATTTTTGGTCTATTATCATTAAATGGACTAAATAAAAGGTGCTTATCAAAATGTTCCATTAGCTTGGAAGTCTGTGACAAAGCCTTTTTGTTGTCCTTAATGTGTTGTTATGAAATTCAATTATACAACATGCTCACCTTGCTTATTTCACTGGCCATAATCTAGTGATAGCTGAACTGAGCAGTTACTGAAAGTATCTTAAAATATTACAAATAGAAAATAGGTAATTTTTTACATTGTTACTTTTTATACAAAAAGAAAGTGAATGGCTTGCAAGGAAAACCTCTACTGTACAGATTTGTAATCATACTATCACCCTTTATAATTTCAACAGAATCCAGTTCTTACCTTGGTTTACCATTGCAGGTAAAGTCACACTATGATCCTCATTGGTAATGAAGATGATACTGGTCATAGCTGAAACTTATTGAGTGCAACTCTGCACCCAGATCCATTCCAAATGTTTTCCATCCTTTTTAAAAATTTAATCCTAACAACAAAACTCTGAGGTACTATTATCTCCTTTTTATAGATCTGAGGTTTACAATGTTAAGTGACTTCACCAAGTTCTTATGTTAGGAAATGTGAAGCCAGGATTGGCCTGAAGAGCCAGTGCTCATAGTCACTGGTTGGGGCTATCTTCCATTATAGATAAAGACAGTAGGAAGTACAGAAATTTAGAAAGAAATTGTTTAGTCATGAGGACATGGCTCCTGCTGAGAAGAATAAGGTAAACTACAGGGTACTATATCAATGCAAGAAACAGAACTCATGTTGGAAAATCCTGCACACTCCTCTACTTGCTCTCCTCTCCTGAAGAGGCACAGGATCAAGTTTAGATCTGAGAAGGGCTTGAAGTATTGAAGTAAGATGAACAGTGACTTGTCTTCTGGATGTCACCCACTTCCATCACACCCACCCAGGTATCTATGAGAGGGAACAAGAGACTAGAGAAGAATGGATGAGGAAGGAAAGTCAAGAGATTAGGAGATGAGGTTGGAAGTTCGAGGGAGAGGGACAGAATGTAGAGGGTACTCTGGAGTGGTTTTGTCCCCATTCATAATGGGAGAACTAAAGTAGTGAGTCGCTCAAGGACCCAGCTCCCCTCACTCTTCCTTCTTTCAGCCTCTGCTGCTATACAGCCTCGAATTAATGCAGACCAGCTCCCACCATTGCGGCTGCTCCATGATCGCTCCAAGACTACCCTCTGCTTTGAATCACTATGTGGAATGTTGTCATTCGTGACATGTGACATGTGACTTTGCCAGGCTTTCTTACCCAGAGGTTCTAAGGAGATTTGTCTCTGATGCATTTCTTCTGAGTTACTGAAATAATTTTCTTATGCTACAGTTTAATAACAATAATAAACTCTTGAGAAGGATGTTATCTTTATTTAGTTGAGTGTTTATTGAACAACTAAGACAATTCCCAATTTACGATGGTTTGACTTAATGACTTTTCAACTTTACAATGAAACAAAAGCAGTATACATAATAAATTACATGAGATATTCAACACTTTACTATAGGCTTTGTGTTAGATGAGTTTTCCCAACTGTAGGCTAACGTAAGTATTCTGAGCACATTTAAGGTAGGCTAGGCTAGACTATGATGTTCAGTAGGTTAGTTGTATCAAATGCATTTCCAATTCACGGTATTTTTACCTTATGATGGATTTATCAGGACATAACCCCATGGTAAGCCAAGGAGCTCTGTAGTTAGTTAAGTGACTGACCCTATATTAACCGATTTGTGAAACTGGACACTAATTTTTGAGCAACTTATCTTCCTGAAATATGAAGGAGGGAAAATGTTTCTTTGTGGAAGCCCCAGGGAATCACAAATCCCCTGGGTAAAATCTGCACATGGAGTCACAGATGTGTGTATTCATTTCTTTTTAGGGACTGGTTAAATATGCTGAGCCCACCCATCATTCCTCCCAGTCAGCAGCCAGCAGAGCAGCATCAAGACTCTTCTGGAAGTCTGAGTGTCCAAGGTGGGAATATGAAAAATGCTGTGCATAAAAAATAGAAATAATTAACTATAAATAGAGACAATCAGTCACTTTGCGATGTCACTGTCTTCATTAAATGTTGATTGTTTAGGCTCACAACATAGGTAACCTGTGCCTCATTTTATACAATGATAGCTTCTTTACAACTAAAAAGAATATAAGAGAAATTGTCCTTGTTCTTCTAAAGGTTAGTCACAGGACAAAACATAGTTTAAGGAGTAAGAAGAGCATGGCTTTAGTGTCAAACTGACCTTCATCTGAATTCTAGCTCTAACAATTTCTTCTGTGTGACCTTTGAGAATTTTAGTTATTGCATCTGTAAAATAAGACTGATAATGCCCACCTAAAGGTTTTTCACAAAGATTCAATGAGGTATATAATATACAAGGCACTTAGAATAGTATCTGCCAAATCCTTGCTGTCAGTATTATTATAAAGCAGACTCAATATTATAATATCACTGAGATACATGTTTTTGTTGTTAATACAGAAATACAGTGGGGACTTGGAGTTATTTTGGGTATGTTTTATTTTTTCAATTTTTAAAAAAATTTTAATTATAGTTGACATAAAGCAAAGGCTGGCACAGAGCTACAATTAGTAGTGTTAACAATGGAATAATTGGAAGGAATCAGGAACGAAAATTTGTCTGAGGTTCCCTGTGTTGGAGAGAGCTGTAAAAATGAACCATTAGTTTCTGGTTATGAACAGGGAATATGATTGGTGGGAGTATAGAGAGAAGGAACAGAAAAGAATCTCTGGTGGAAACAGAGGACGTGAGGTGGGGGGATGGAGATGTAAAGTGTATAATTAGGGTGACAAATAACCTCAGAGTGGGAATCTGAGACAGTTTTCTGAGTTGGATTTTGAAGATGGAAGCTCTATATCTGAGGTTAAAAAAAAAAACTGAAACCATTATAAATTGCTCCAAGAAAGGTGCCAGTTTTGGGGGAGTATTTTTTTTCCTAGTTGCCCCAGGGAGAAAGTGGAACATCCATTTTTCTTCAGGTATGGATAATTCAGAGTGAAAGCTCATACATCTGAATTGTACATTTTGGCCGCCAAGGGTTAGAGATGTCTCTGTGATTTACTATCTGAAACAGATTATGCCCCTCAAATTGGGAATCTTTAGAGGTGTGCATTTATAATTACTTATGACAGAAAAGTAGATTCTGGGCTGTCAGAAGGAGACCTTGCTGTGAGGGAACAAATAATGTGTTATGTTAAGTGTCCTAAATAAGGCACAGGGATGGAGAGCATGGTCCATGAGCAAAGGCACCCAGGATATGCATGAGTGGTACCTGGCTGAAAGGATGTCTTAAAGTCACCGCCATTACAAAGTGATGTTTTGACACCAGGAGCTCAATTATGTTGAAGGCAAACAGAACTTCTGTCAAGGACACATTAACAAATTAAATCGAGAGAACTATAAAAACAAAACATTCTGGCTACAGTTAACAAGATCTGCCACCCCTCTGCGCACCACCCTAGATTTTTATCAGTGGTCCCTTTCCCCTTTGCTCATATGTTTGGGTGGTGTGAGCTAATAAATACCATCAGAAACTAATGTTTCTTATTTGGCTAATCTTTACATGTTATTGGCCTAGTTTTAAACAACATAGCACAGTCCACACTTACCAATATATCAAGATAGTATTTTCTCCTGTTCTTATAAAGCAAGGGTGCTCAACTTTTTGGCATCTCTGGGCCACACTGGAAGGAGAGTTGTCTCAGGCTACATGTTAAATACACGAACACTAATGAAAACTGATGAGCAAAAAAAAAAGGGTCTATGCATAATTTTTGTTGATACCCAACACCACAGAGAAGCAAAAATGTCCTCACAAAATAACCCTAACTATGCAACAGCCCTTCCTATAATCTTTTAAAATTGTTGAGCAGATCCCAAGTTTGTGATCACTAATATAGAAAATGTATGTATCTTAGTAATAAACTAAGTAATAGTTTAAGTAAATTTATGATTTTCTGTTGAGCCACATTCATAGCCATCCCAGGCCGAATGCAACCCTCAGGTCTCAGGTTGGACAGCCCCGTAAAAGTGTTAGTCCAGGAAAAATAGTGGGCCCAGTTTACACCGTCAGAAGGAGAAGGGAGGCTCAGTTGTGGGCAGTCCGGGACTCTTCCTGGGTTTCTCTTGCGTGTCACCATTAACTAAGCACTTACTATATGCCAGACATTGTGCTAAGCTGTTACACTCAGCCCTCACAGCAACACCATGAGGAAGATGCTACTTATGTGTAGTTGTACTTTACAGCTAAGGAAACTGAGGTCACGTGACTAGTCATTTGCAGAGCTGGAATTTGAATTTAAGCAGCCTGACCCCAGAACCCAGCCACTGTTTTTGTACTATTTTGGTTTTGAACCATGTTAATAGATTGTTTACTCAAAATAATCTATTTTCATTATTAAAAATAATACTCAAAATAATATTAAGAATAATATGTATAAAACCAGGAATTGAAAGATTATTCTTCTGTTGAAAATTCCTAATCAACAGGAAAAGCAAATTAAGATATCTCAAGAGCTCAGTAGCTAAATTCTTTAAGGAAAAAAAGTCAGAGCTCTGGTCCCCTGTTTCAGCCCAGGACCTGCCTCCCCCTCCATCTCAGGCTTGTCAGAGATGACAGGTGGCCACACTGCCTCCATGGGAGGGGCTAAGGGCTGCAGTGACTATACTAGCCATTTCCAGGGCAAGGCCAAGGGCATGAGGAAATGGGTTGCAGACCTGGGTGTGTGCTGGTAGCCTATTGTCTAAGAAGGTTGGTCTCTGTCATTTCACTGTGTACATTTTCTTCACAGTCTTCTCACAATTTGTAATTTGTGATTTGTTTACTTGTTTATTATTTATTATGAGAAAGAGAAGGAAAGGGAGAAAATGTTCAACTGGTCATTTCTTATCACAACCTTGAAAAACAAAGTGCTTCATCAAAATCTGACTTTCAGATTTCTAATTTTTATTTTTCAGTATATTAGCTTTATTTCTAAAATTTAACAATGCAAGTATTAAACCATACATTTTAGCAAGCAAAACAGTTGTAGGTCACATTATGCAATGGCTCTTAAACTTTACTTATAAGCACTGAAAACTTTTCTTTCAAATGCAATTTCACATGGGATTCCAACATACAAAAGAGCTAAATGCAGAACTGCTCTGGCTAAAGGGGGAGTCAGGGTCTCAGAAACCTGCCCGGGGCTCTGATGAACCAGTTAAAAACACTAATGTAGTCCCACCCCTTCCGTTTGACCTTGTCCAAGGACACTCATCAGAGCCCAAGCTAGACTCAGGACCCAGGCTACCCCCTAGCAGTGCCTTTCTGCACCACCATTGCACTGGGACATGAGGGCCGTTCTGAAGGCTGGTTCAGGGGAACGAGCTCTCCCACCTTTGGACTTAGGGGATAAAACAGTAATAACTAATGTTTGTTTCACCTGCCTGAGACCCAGGCCTACAGGTGCACTTTCATTCTCTAAATAGCCTGCCAAGTGTAGGTGCTGTTATTACCCCATTTATACACACACACTGGGACTCAAAGCGAGCAAGTCATGTGCTTCACCACCACCCCTGCAGCACGAGACACAACTGCGCTTTAAAGGCAGGCAAGGTTGGCCTCACCTAGACAAAATTCTAGAAAACTTGCCCCGGACCATACAAAAGTGAGTGCATGTGTTACACCTGGCCTTTGAGTCCCTACTTTGTTCAGTACAAGTTTGTCACAGCCACAGTTTTTGCTCAGCCAGAATGTCTCAAGTGTATAAATGCCTCCTTAAAGTGAACGGCCCCAGGAGCCGACCAGCCAGCAGGAAAAGCATTGTGCTCCATGCCATTCACCTGGATGGAGAAATGGACAGCTCTTCACAGTTCCTCCCAGGCCATAATGTACTATGAGTATCAACGACCATGGGCACAGGTGTGCTTAACACTTACTAAAAATGTGTTTTCCTGGAGCTCATGCTAAACGTAAAAATGGGGAGTTAATATTTCAGAACTTACTCAAGAACACTACCAAACTGACCTTTTGAAAGTGAACTGGACTTGGCTTGAAAAATAGTTGTCAATTTGTTTTTTGACACTTGCTCCGTTACAGAGATGACTCTTAAATTATTCATGCTTACCAGCTCCAAAATAGAATAATAATGACCCTGTCTTCAGGCATGCAGTCTCTCTTCCAGTTTACATGGACCTTGACTAAGAAAGCCATTCCCAAGGGCCTTCGGGGTTGCCAGCCTCATTTCGTACCTTTTGTTTGGCAAAGCCACATAGGATACTGCTTTGTGAACACTGACTAATTTCACACAAGACATAAACAGACAATGGATGCTTATCTTATAGATGTAGTATCTAAATTACTAATTAAGAATTTACAGAAATCCTGTGGCTGTTCACAGCCAGCCAGAGCCAGGGGAGCCTGGCTGCCCACCCTGACACCAACAGAGGGATGCTTTCACCGCCCCCAGTCAAACTGCACAGTTTGGGACATTTACCTGAGTCTAAAGCAGTCTTGTAAAATCTGTTTTATCAGTCACTTCACCAGACATTATGTTTCATGGAACAACTCTGGTACCCTCGGGGCACCTAGGACATAGTAAACGCCCGTCACTGTTTGATGAGTAGGGGAATGAAGCTTCTGCCCAGGGAAAACAGGATGATTTGGCCCACTCTTTGGATTTTCCATTTCTTGAAGATTTATTCAAGATACAAAAGAGGCCTTCCCCCCACAAAAAAATATTGGTGATCAAAAGTAGCAATAAAAGTCAGCATTAATAAAGCGCCCACCGTGTGCCTAGCAGTAGGTCGAGTTTTTCTGTGCATTGCCTCACAATGACTAGTCCCAGCACTCCCAGGCATGGGGCTGTGTTGTGTCCCCACCTTACAGCTGAGGTTAAGGTCACGGCCTGGGTCGCAGACCCACTGAATGTGGAACAGGATGCAGATCCAGGCCAGCTTCCACCTTTCACCCGTC